GAGCTATTTGTTCGTGGAGAAAGTGGAAGGATGAAGGAGGTGGTGGCCACCCTTCACTAGGAACTGTCGAATGTCCAAGAGAAATCATTTTACACTAGGGCTCCAGTCAAAACGAATCAACTAAACATTGTAGTTTGGGGGTATGTTTCGGCCGAAGTGGCGACCTGTTTTCTTACACATAAAGAGTGTCGGCTTAATGATATTACACTTTACTCTGCCTTCTTTCTTTCTCACTTATCCTTCTCTCGATCCTTTGTTTGTGTTTTGTTTAAATGGTTCCGCGATATTCTTCGAGAGACATTGGGTCAATCGTATCAAACGACCAATCTTGGATGAATCAAAGAGAGGTGGATCGCCTGCAAGAGACTTGTGTCTTCGATCACACCATTAAGCTTCAGGTCACCGGCGAAAATGACTGAGCTACCTCCTTGTATGGTGGCGACCTCATCATCTATAAGGATCAATTCTATTTTGGCCTTTGATTGCCTTTTTGTCGAGAGTTGTTTGCCCTTTTTTTCCCATTATGGGGTCATCCCAGCCCAAATAATGCCCAACTCCATAGCGGCTATCATGACCTCCGTCGTCTTCTAATGCTGGTTGGGGATTCTGGGGTCAGTCAAGTTTTTGAGTTATCTATTCTCGTTTTGGATAGGTTTGTTGAGTACCGGCCAACTCAAGGCTCACACTTTCTCATGTATCGGTCGCTCGATTAGGTCGTCATCTTGAACTTGCCATAACTTATGCCAGAAATATTAAGCTGATTTTTTCGCAATTTTGCGAGAGTAACCACTTTAACTTGTTGTTGGGGTGATTCTTACATTACTCATCGCAGATCTTATAGCTAATGGGTAGTGAAACATACCGCTAGAGTTTGACCCGTACCGAGCTATGAGACATGAGCTTTTATGACGAATGGGTGTTGTAGATTGACTCTTGCGTGATTTACCAATCAAACATTTATTCATCGTTGACGGTTATTTAGAAAATTTTATCAATCAAACATTAACCATAATTGTCGGTATTGCGGCTTGGATGGAAACATCGCTAACGGATTGGTTAAAGTTCCCTGAGTGTCGATCGAATTTTGACAATCCCTTAAATGAATCTTATGAGTTCTCAGAGTGTCGGTCGAACTTGGGATCATATGTATAATTAAGAATTTTTTTACTTAACCATATTTATAAAATTAACAACAGAATACAAATGTAGAAACAATAGCACATTCTAATTGTTGAGATACAAATTTTTTCCCTAAGAATAAAATACCTTCAAATCATTTTCACTCCACGTCCAAAGCACTCCTTTTCCCGTGTAGAGCTTCAGCTTATACACTCCGGGAGTGACCCACTTGTCGATGATAAATGGTATAATCCATGTCTAGTCGGGCTTTTTCATAGCTTATTCTGGCATGGTTGGGTCGGCTTTCTTCAACACGAGGTCTTCGATGGTAAAAGTCTTTTATTAGATGTGTTTGTTGTAGCATCAAGCCGTTTGTCTCTTCACTTTTTGTAGTAGGGTCGAGTCGGCACATTTCTCCTTTGCAAGATGGACCAAAAGCATCATTCCTTCGGCATTTGCTTCGTGCCACTCGGCTAAATCTACTTCGTCAAATACAAAACCTGCCACCACTTTCTAATTATAATGATTATATTCAACCGACAACCTCACGTCCATCCCGTTTGACAGCATGAATAGGGTTTATCCGGTCATCGTGGAAGGTATCGTTCGAGCCACTAAATGAAATACTATAGGATCTCAATCCAATTTCCCTTAACTCTTTCAACTTTCTTCCTTAGCATGTTTAAGATAATCTTGTTGGTTGTTTCGACCAGGCCATTCATTCAAGGATAATGGACGAATGTAAACTTCAAGCTGATCCCCTAACTTCGGTAAAAATCTTTTACCCCTTGTTCGACAAATTGTCTTTCGTTGCCAGTGATGATTACGAGCGGTAGTTCATACGAACATATTAGTTCAGTCCAGATAAAGTTTCAAACAACCTTTGCGATGATTCGAACGAGCGCCTTGGTCTCAATCTACTTGGAGAAGTAATCTACAACAACGAGAAAGAATTTTCACTGATCTCGCGATAGGAAAAGGCCTCGAGAATATAGAGTCCCTAACGGTGAAAGATCATGGGCTAATAATGGGTTGCAATTTGTGAATTAGTTGATTTTGCAGCGGTGCATACTTTTTACATTGTTCACACTTTATTGAAAATCCCTCAGCATACTTTTGAAATGTCAGCCAAAAACAAATTGCACTTGAGAATATAGAGTCCCTAACGGTGAAAGATCATGGGCTAATAATGGGTTGCAATTTATGAGTCAGCTGAATTTGCAGCGGTGCGTACTTTTTACGTTGTTCACACTTTATTGAAAATCCCTCAGCATCCTTTTGAAATGTCGGCCAGAAACAATCCTATCATTGTACTCGGTATGTCAAAGTCTTGTCTCTGAAGTGGTTGTCGCATTCCCCTCAATGTACTTCTCAAAGGACATCTTCCGCCTTGTCTTCTTCAATGCACACCTCAAATACAACGAGATAACTAACCTTCGGAAATGTTTTTCCTCAATCATAAGGCATTGGATTGTGTTTACCTTGAAACGCATTGGATCGAATACTACTTCTAAGACATTTCTAGTTTCAAGATACATAATGTATGGGCCCTCCAACTCTTTGACTATTCGGTTCTCAACTCCATTATTTAGGTTTCTTTTATGATTGATCAGTCAGGTTTTTAGAGCATACCCTCCCCTAAGCGGATGCACTTGGATAGGAGGTATGTCACCTGATTGTCTGCTCGGGAGATATGTTCAATCTTGAAACCTTCAAATTTTCTGTCTTTATTTTAGTTTTGTCAAGATATTTATCTCATCTATAACTTTTAATTGCTCGATCACCTAACTACCTACCAAACTACAAGTCGGATTTTACCAAGTGGTGTCATGCGCTCATTTTATAAGCGAACCGTAGCCCAATAATTAGAGCTTCATACTCCGCTTCATTGTTGGTAACTTTGAATCCTACTTCTGTCAAGTGGTATAGATGATCCCCAATCGTGTTTATCAAAGATAGATCGAGACCCACCCCAGTTTGGTTAGATGCTCAGTTAATTTGTAAAATCAAAGTATGACCGTCGGTCGTCGTTTCTTCACCTTGTTCATTCGGCTCGAAAAATCAGCCAAGAAATCGACTTTGACTTGTGCTTTGATAGGAGTCGAGGGCACGTATGAGAGATCAAGCTAACTGAGTTTTACTGCACGTTTAAGAAGCCGACCAAAGAGTTCCGCCCTACATAGGACTCCAATGTTGGGATCTTAAATCGCTTCGAACTCAGAGATTTGTTAAGAGAATGTGTTCTCAGATTGTCAGGGCACCACAGTACGCACGAACAGAAGTCGGTCGATCTGTGTCGACCTAGCACTATCGAAGTACTGAGAGACGTCTTCTCTTTCCAAAGCTAAGGAGACTCTTTTTTCATTGAGGGTCGGCCCTTCGTCTTGAACCTGTTGTTCTCTTCCCTGAGTTGGTGCATCAAGGATCACATCCAATATTTGATCCTTCAACTCCTGCATCTGTTGGACGCTCACTGAACTTCTTAGGATATTGAATCTTGATTTTTCCATGAATCACACTCAATGAGTAGAGCGTAAATAAGGAGATTGAGAAAGATAGAAAGAGAGAGAGAGAATGAACAGTAATCCATCATGATCAATCGTTTCATTCAAAAAATGATTCTCTTATTTATAGATGAGAGGGAAGAAAATTATGATATAACATTTTTGCCCCGTATTTCACATGTATGGCTTGCATACATTTGCTTTCTGGCATGGTCGGCTAAGCTTAATTAGTTCCAAGTCAGTAGAGTTAGCTCAACTGGTTAAACTAGGTCGATCATTCAAGCCAGATCGGTCATCTAGGCAAGGTTGGTTGTCCATGCTGAGTCGATCGTCCAAACTAGGTTGTCGTCAAAGTTAGGTCGGTCATCCAAGCTGGGTCGTTCAGGCTGGGTCAGTCCTACTGGGTCGATCGTCCATACTATTTCAGTCCATTAGACTAGGTTGGTTGGGATCTAGCCTAGCAGAACTGGAGCTAGCAAGGCCGAACTTAATCATCGATTTTTCTTTTTGTGTTGTTCCACTTTTTCTTGGTAGCATGATTCATGCTAAGCGCATTACGATGTTAAATCCTGAATTGTCCGTGAATCACACCGAATGAATAGAGCATAAATAAGGAGAGATGAAGAGAGACAAAAAAAGGGGGAATAAAGAGTAATCTCGCGTGTCTTATTCATAAAATGATTCCCCAATTTATACAGAGTATGATACAATGATAATATTACATTTTTTCTCCTAATTTAAAGTTGTCTGTACTGGGATATTTCTGGTATTTTACATGTATAATTTTATCATCTGACTGCTCTTTGGCTCAATTGGCTAAACTTTTAATTGGCTTCAAGTCGACAAGAGTAGTTTGGTCATCTATGATCTGCTTGGACGGTTGAGCTTTTATGACATGGCTCGTTTGGTTGATAAATGCGGTTGTCAAACATTTACCCCTGATGAGGAGCCTTTGGGCATCTCTGGGGTGGTTGGAGATTCAAGGGAATCGGATCTTCCCTAGCCTGAACAAACTTTTGTCAAACTTTTGTCTCGTTTTTGGTTGAGTGGCTCGTTCTTGTATCCTATGTTCGTCTTTGATCTGTCACGTAGTACGATCAGCTTTAGCCTTGCTGGCCTACCTGGAACAGTTTTACTCGGTGGGATAAGTAGGCCTCATGATCTTGTTTCAATAGGGCGGCTTTTGTTTTATCCTTTCCTTCTGGATTTGGCACCTTTTTTATGTACAAAAACCAAAGCCACCGCATTCAATTAAAAAAAAAATCTATTAAAATAGCATTCCCAGGCGTAAATCGCATCAAGTGATAAGAGAAAGAAAGGCAAAAAAAAAATATTTCAGACCATGAAAGGCAAGCAAACAAAAAATTAGCATCTTACGGATAGTATCTAAGTTTTCCCTTCTTTATGTCCTGCTTGATTGGGGTGAAAGGCTCATCAGTGGCGACCTCCATCTTTGCGCTCGAGTCCTTGGGGATCTCCACTACAAAATTGAACACCCCGTCCCCCGCATGCAGCGGAATGTCGTGCCACGGTGAAACCTAATCATTTCCACCACGGATTAAAACCTCAACCTGCAACTTTCTTTTAACAGAGGGGGAGTAGAAGGAACCTTCTTGCCAGTCGAATCTATAAAGAAGGCGCGGTAATCGAGGGTTTCCGGCGTGCCTTCCTCTTTGACACTGAAATCGTTCTTGTAGAGTGCGGTGCAGGTTAATCGGTTACGGCGTGACCGGAAAGGGACGGCGGCAGGAGAAATTCCCTTTGTAGCGAGGGATGGGAACTTGAAGAGGAACGCCGACCTCGCCGAGACTTTGAGAGTGCCGCCGACTGAGGCTCTAAACCGTGCAACAGTCCATGTTACCGTTACCGTCGCCGCCGCCACCGCCATGGCTAGGAAGGGAAGTTGGGCCAAGCGTTCACCGTATTCGGTGGTTGGAATCTCTTATTTGGTTTTCGGAGATTCCGCCGAAATGATGCTCGTAAATCTTAATGGCGCCTCACAATCGAACCCACGTGAGTGTGCTTGAAACAGATAAAAGGTTATAATTTATTAGTGAAATATAATAAATTGACCTTTCATTTTTGTAAACTCGATTACGATTTCTTGGAAATTTTTTATATTTTATTTTATTTTATTTTATACTAAAAATATTTAATAAGTTTAAAATTTAGTCTTCTTTTTGTTAAATATTAAACAAATTGATTTATCCTATAATTATAGTAGGTGGTCAAAGATATTGATAGTTAATGATCAGAGTATAAGCAAGTCAAGTTGAACTTGCACCACCCCCAATTTAAACTTGAGCTTGACTAATTAATCAAGTTGGAGCTAGAACTCGAGCTCGAGCTTACTTTTATAAGTTTGAGTTGACAAATGAGCCAGCTTGTTGATTATGTAAGAGAAAAATTAATATCATATCAATCTAGTGTTATACTTAATGTCATTAACAAAATTTTATTGTTCATCACGGATCTCGAGACATGACAGAAATTTCGAAGTCATGTTACATAAGAAACGTTCAAACTTCAACTAAACATCATTCAGAACTCTGATTGCAAAAAAACTTATAGTCAAACAGACCGACTCGATGAGACGAACACAGTGACACAAAAGTTTGGTTCAATCAGTGTCAAATCAAGCCTGAGTCTACTAGTTGAATCATATTTGAAAGTTTCTAGCGTCCACTTAAAATATCAAACGAATTCCAAATATAACAAACTTATAGTCAAATTAAGTGTGTCACACGAATTTAATATGACTAAGATCATTCAATGTTGACACCATTGGAGCACTCAAATGTTCGCAGAATGACATCTGATCAAGGGGATCTCTTTGGGTCGTTCGATGGAGTGGTATGGATTCTTTCCTTATTTTTTGGGAGGCCTCTTCTAGACTCTATTAATAGAGCCTTATCTCTTTCATGAAAGTGGACCTTTACCTTGAACCGAAGGAAACCCAGGGCTTGGAGGAGAAAGAGTTTGATATCCATTGTTACGCATCGAAGGTCTAGCGAACTATAACCGCTCTTGCAGCTGTCGACTACCGTCGACCACCACTCATAGGTTACCTTCAACCATTGTTGATTGCCCCTAATCATCACAATGAAGCCCGTTGTGGAATCATGACATTCGTCATGGAATCCTCTCATACTCTACCGAGTAACAATGCATCCTAAATATAAATGCACCCCAAAGAAGATGTAACAACATTGTTGAAGTATTATGGTACATTAAAATTAATTTCATCTTCCCTAACTCAAGAGAAGAATGGGTTTGTGCATTCACCATTATGTAGTGGATTAGTTCAACTGGGCTAGGCCTTATTATTATTTCTCCATTCTATGATTTTCCACTTAAAAATCAAGGTGTCTCCTCATGCTTCCTCAACACTATTTACCTATGTGTGTGTTTAATTCTCATGTAATGTTGTGACATTAAATAATCAATTTACTATCACAGACCTTTTGGTACACATCAGTTTGGCATTATCTACAAGAGTCTTGTTGATCATAGTCATTTTCTAATGACAACATCTAACTAGCAAAGGAATCTCTTTTGTATCTCTTCATGATCATTGTTTTGGATACTTTGATATAGGGGCAACCTTCACTATAATCTCTACAAGGCATTCACGTTAACGTCTTAGGCATGATTGTAATGAGGAAATCTTCGTGAAACTTATTCAGACATAAAGTCTATAAAAATTACTTCCTCATCCTGGGCACGACGATGGTAAGTTAGTCATTTTACATCTCATTCATACATCAAGTCTTTGAATACTACTTTTGAATTGAGGGGGCAACCTTCATCACAGAGAGCGCTTCCTCAACACTTTATCACCCTGTCGGTCAAAATTTTGGCCATGGATTGCATTTTAATTTTGAAAAGTAATTTTAATATATATATATATATATATATATATATATATATATATATATCTATATATATATATATC